AAAAGGAGTAAGCAAGCAAAGGAGGTGGAATTGATACATTAATTTACTTATTTAACCACTGTTTCTAGGGCCTGCCCCCTGATATGTGGGGTGTTTTAGACTTTGGGAGTACAGACGGGTCCGTGACGGACAAAGTCCTTGCTCTCTTGCAACTTACATTCTGGGGATGAAAGAATATTTACAGATTGCCACAAGTGCGGTGTCGAAATAACAGGAATGGCAGAGTACCTGGGGTGGGCGGGGCGCTTGTGGGTGATGAGGAGCACAGAAGAAAAGAGAGGGAGACCACTTGCAAACTCTGTGTGTCCCCAGGATACTTTGAGAATTACAATATAAATGTTGTTTGTGGGAAGCTTGTAGAGGCAGAAAAGTTGTTGGGAACTGCTGATTCCGCACACGAGGATACTGAGGCACAGGTTTAAAAATGGATAAATTTTAACAATTCATCCAGGGTTGTAACTCATTTGTGAATGAGCTGGGACTCGAATCCAGTTTTTCTTGTTCCCATTCACATTCATTCATTGTTTCTTTTCCATAGTTTTCTTCAAGTGAATGTTTTTAGCCCCTCAGTCTGTGCCTTGCCAAAATAGTGTTTCATTGCCATATGGTGGATTGGAGGAAAGTCTTAAGGAGCTGCTTTCAGATGGGATGGGAGAAGCCTATGAGAAGCACACACAACCTTTCTTAGAATAGTTGGAATTAAATGGTTCAGAGACCTTGAGAATGAGCAAGATCATTTACTTCCTATAAACCATATGTTCTTAGAAATTGAACATTGTGCTGGGTTGGATTGAGGAGAACATTTTGTTTTGAAGCCTAAGAATTTTATTTTAATAGAGCTATAGGTTTCACCAGATGAGGAAAGTTGAAGTTGGCACCCTGGGTTGATTAGGAGATGAGGAGCTTGGTGGTTGGAATGGGGAATCTGTACTCACTTCTGTGAATCCTATGGTGATGTGAACAGCCAGGCTGATGTTGTTCACTTAGGTTGGTGCCGTGTGTGTCTACCTGATGACCCATCCCAGGGGGCATTCTCTCTCTGCACACCTCAGTGACCCAGGCTCATGGTTTTTATTTGTGGTACATTTTAGGGTTAGTGGATTGAGGCCTTGCCAGCATTTCTCAGTCCATTGCAATGTAGAGCAGAGGTTGGCCGGACAGTAAATAACTTAGGCTTTGCAGGACATACAGTTTCTGATAAAATTACAGATCTACCTTTAGCACGAAAGCAGCCATGGGCACTATGTAAATGCATGAGCTAGCTGTGTTCCAATAAAACTTTATTTGCACAAACAGGTATTGAGGCAGATGGCTCACGAGCCCTTGTTTGCTAGACCCCTGCTGTAGAATGGTGAGGTAAGGTAATGGGACAAGTTGAGCTCTCCTAATAAACAAGAAATATTTTTTTTTGGTTGTTAAAGATTTTATTTATCTGAGAGAGAGAGAGAGAGAGTGCACACAAGCAAAGGGAAGGGCAGAGGGAGAGAGGGAGAAGCAGACCCCCCACTAGGCAGGGAGCTCCACATGGGGCTCTATCCCAGGACCCTGAGATGATGACCTGAGTCGAAGGCAGACACTTAACCAACTGAGCCACCCAGATGCTCTAACAAGAAATATTTTTGTCCTCCATCTTTCTTTTAAAACTTTTGGGTTCTGTGAAATTACCATGAAATGAATGTGGCCATTGCCACAGTCTACAATTTGACCTTGACATACTAAAGTCAAACAAAATGTATTGATATTTTCCTAGAGTTACATTCTTGTTAGGTAGCTTTACCCTTTTTTTGGACAGAAGAAAAAAATTTTTTTTTTTTAAGATTTTATTTACTTATTTGACACAGAGAGAGACACAGTGAGAGAGGGAACACAAGCAGGGGGAGTGGGAGAGGGAGAAGCAGGCTTCCCGTGGAGCAGGGAGCCCGATGCAGGGCTCAATCCCAGGACCTGGAATCATGACCTGAGCCGAAGGCAGACACCTAATGACTGAGCCACCCAGGCGCCCCCAGAAGAAAATTTTTTATTTCTGAAGCTCTTCAGAGGGGGTTGCTCCATGTTTCATCCTGTAAGCAACTGGAATTTAAACAAGACGAGTTACTGAGATACTCCTTTTTAATCAGGCAGAACTGAAATGAGGGGCCCTAGGGTCCTGGGATCAAGCCCCGCATCGGGCTCCCTGCTCCGCGGGGAGCTTGCTTCTCCCTCTCCCACTCCCCCTGCTTGTGTTCCCTCTCTCGCTGTATCTCTCTCTGTCAAATAAATAAAATCTTTTAAAAAAACAAAAAACAAAAAAACCTGAAATTAAAATTTATGATTTGGGTAGCTGATCAGAAGACTGTAATCCATCAAAGTTTGGGTTTTTTAAAAAACCTTACCCACATCTTTATTTGGAAAAACTATTTGTCTGCCTTTAAGTTAATTGGTATAACACCAGGTCAAGAAATGACATTGTTAATGAAATGAAATATTACCCTGCTGTTACTAAGGAGGCTTCTGCAGAAATATGGAAGTGTCGGTGAATTAATGAAATGTGAAAAGAATTTAGTCTCCATGTTGATTAGAACTATATAAAAATACGTTTGTATAAAATTGTAAGGAGAAATTGCCATAGACTTTTTACCTGGTTAGTGTTAATGTGAAGTGATTTGGGCCTTTGTTTTTATTGTAGGTAGGAAATGTCTGTTTTCTCATAAAGCTGGTGAAATACATAAGTACAATTTTCAGTAGGAATTTAAAAAATCCCTAGTGAGCTACAGTGTAAGATGAAAGTAAAAATTTTATTTCTCAACCTTAAACTAATAGTGCATTCACAGCATTTTAACAGAATTCGGGTCAGAAAGAAAATTTATAGGAATGGTGGATTTTCTTTGGTTACTGGAGTGCATGCTTAAAATGATTCTCCATTGTTCTTTTCACTTGATCTGAAATGAGCCACCGGAAGGTATCCTTAGGTTCACTCCTGCACTTGGTGCTCTCTTTGCCTGCATCCCTTCAATTACGTCTTTGAGGAGAATTGTCCCTTTTCCTTGCCGAAGTGTCCTCTTGCATCCTCCGCCTGTCCCCCGATTTTTTCCACTGGTGTTACTTCCCTTGCACCAGGCTCTTCCATTTACTAGCTGCCGTGTCCTCTCAGAGTCCTGGCGTCTCTCAGAGGCCCCAGTTTCCAAATCGGTAAACCTTCTTTGCTCTTTTTTTTTTTTCCCCAGTGAAGATTAAATATATAACAGTAAAACACTAGACCAGTAGTGGGCTCACAGCAGTTACACAAAAAATCAGACTTGCCATTGTTGTTATTTAAAACAACATCTTACATTTTGTGCTCTTGACTGGTTCATTCCCCTTTCACTACTAACCTGTTCACGTTCTCTGCCTCCTAAGACGTTCTGCTCAAACTTGTGTGCTCCTCAGGCTCTCGTGCTTTTTCTTTCCCTCCATTGCTGTCATGCCTCTACCATGGGAAGTGGCCGTCTAGCTTCTAGCCCCATCCTGCTGTGTGACCCATACAGCCCCCATACTGTGGCATTTGCTTTCTTTTCATCCTCTACCCTGTCATTCTGGAGTCTGCGTCTTCCCCGGGTTTCTGTGACAAGGTGGGCCTGATTTTCCTTGTACTGTTTGACTACCTTTTCAGTTTGCTTTTCTGACTTGAAGTTCCCTCGTCAGCCCCCACACGGTTGTGTTCCCTAAGGTCCCTGTGTTCCCCCGTGCACCCTCCCTCCACAATCGCCCCTATTCCTGGGGCTTCAGACAGCTCTCCTGTGCAGGTGATTCTTAAATGGGTAATTCTAACCCGCCCTGTTATTTTGAGCTTAAGCTTTACATCCTGAGAGGTCAACCTTGAGGAGCTGTGGGCAACTCCAACTCAGCATGTCAAATTCATCTTTTTATTGTTCCCAACCAGCTTCTGCAGATTTCCCTGTAGCTGTTAGTAGCAATACCATTTTCCCAGCCTCCATATTTTGGGGCCCCTCCTTTGCCACATCTCTGCCTCGTTCTCGTTCTCCACATTACCTTAGCTGCATCTTCTCAGGTTTACCCTGTAAAGTATCTTTGCTTCCAAAGTTCTTTTGTGAATACATATGTAAAGAGAGAGATCTGGAAAGAAGTTCACCAAAGTGTTTAAAGTCTTTGATCTCTGGGTGGTAGGATTTTATACTGTTTGAATTTTGTTTTCTTAACAGGTATTTAGTATTTATATGCTTGCACCCAGCCTTTTACCTCTCAGCCCTCCTGTGTCCTGATCATCACCCAGTGGAACTCCTCCTCCTGATTTCCTCGGTGCACTCATACTTTCTTGCCTTTGTTCCTTTACTCAGAGCTTGTTTCATCGGTTCTTTGCATCTCCCGTTGTCACTCTTCAGGGCATTTTCCCAACTGAATGCGCCTTCCTTCACAAGCTCTCCGGTCTCTGTCACTTCCTTTGTTCTGCCCTCTGGTCTTCTGAGGTGGCTTTTTGTGTTAATCCCTTTATTAGATTGTAAGCTCCAAGAGAGCAGAGATTGGGTCTTACTCATCCTTTTCCCCTTTTGGTTATAATCTCCCTATTTTTCTTTGGGCACAACCCCTTTTCCCACTGGCTGTGGTTCTGGTGGGATGGTCAGTCAAAGTGTCCTGCCAAGAGAATGGGATGCTCTTCCCCTGGAATTTGGATTTTGAGTCATGGGATACAAGGACTGACAGTGATTGGCGTGGATTCATCCTGGCCAAGGTGCTCTGAAGAAGCCATTTCTTAGTTCCTGCTTCCCAGATCCCTGCAGCTGCTCTGGTTCCTGAACTCTCCGAGGCCTGGTTCTTCAGATTGTCCTTCGTATCTGTGAGCTATCTCGTATCCTTACACTAAATGTCTCTCTCTTTAAATTTTAAGTTAGCTAGACAGTTTCTGTTGCTTTTTTCCCTGCCGATAGAGCTGTTATGATTGGAACTGACCAGACTTAATCATTCGAGTTCTTATATTGATTCTGATATGTTTTTTCTTCTCTTTAAAAATGAAAACAAAAAAACAGCCAGAGACTGCTGCTGCCTTGAAACGTACAGTAGAAGCCCTGATGGACAGAGGGGCGATAGTGAGGAACTTGGAGAATCTGGGTGACCGAACACTGCCTTATAAGATTTCCTCCCACAGTCAGCGGCACAGTAGAGGAGGGTAAGTTTCTTCATGAACCTCGACAAATGTCTTTGATAGGCTGTAAAGAATACTGTTTAGTTCATCTTAGAAATGATTTTAATTTCTCAGTAGATCTCCATTGTGCCAGGTGGTGTGTGGGTACATATTCTAGTGGTGGTGTGATTTAAATGGACTCCAGTAAAGCTGGCCCATAATAAACCATAATCAGAGTACAAAAACAAGTCATGTGAGGAGCAACAGGCGTGTAAGCTTTTGATTGCGGGAAACTCTTTTCTTTCTTTTTTTCAAAGATTTTGTTTATTTATTTGAGAGAGAGCATGAGAGGGGGGAGGTCAGAGGGTGAAGCAGACTCCCCACTGAGCGGGGAACCTAATGCAGGACTCGATCCCAGGACTCCAGGATCATGACCTGAGCTGAAGGCAGTCAGTCGCTCAACCAGCTGAGCCACCCAGGTGCCCTGTGGGAAACTTTTCTTGTCAACCTAAGCACAGTTTTCCCTTGACATTTCTTCAGCTTTGCCTTTAAAGCGCCTCAGTGAGCAATGTGCTGTCCACATACTCAGTGCATCCTTTGTAAATAATGGGGGTTGCAGGTAACAAGCAAAAGGTACTTTCAGTAATGTTGTGTGTAACCAGCACCTGACCCACAATAGAGAAATGGTTTTTTGTACTCCAGACAATAATCACAATCCTCTGTTACGGAATTTTTTCTTACAAAAGTATATAGCACTTTCCTCAAACATATCGAAGATTTGACTCTGTAGTAATAACTATCCTTGTAGAAATTCTTTGATACCGGTTTGCTTGTTGAGTTGATCTGAAGCTTCTCTGACCCCTGGTGATGTTATTTTTACACTCATGATTTCTGGTGTGGAGGAGAAATCTTCTGATACTGTTGAGTTTCCTAGAAGTAGTGATAGAGAAGATGGAAATGAGTTTTTAGTAGTGGGAAGGTCCAGGCATTGAAGACTCCATTCTCCCTCCGGTACTTGCCAGCAGTGTGGCCTTCACCCAGTCTTTAGCTTCTCCGATTCTTGCTTCCTTGGATACTGAGCTCAGGTGGCCATCCTCCCACCCACGTTGCCGGGGGGATCAGAGGAGATCATCTCTCCGTGTGCTCTCCAGACGGTGTGGAGTGTGGATGGTGCCGCTTCACCCACGAGGAGCTGGGCTCTTGCGCCAGTGCCGCCCGCGGGAGAGGCCTGCGTGCGGTCACGCCTCACACTGAGGCGTTCTTCCTGCATTTAAGCCTCTGCCGAGGTGCGGCACACACTGCACATTTCCTCTTTTGATTGCTTCACCTTGTTTTGTGCTAGCGTTCAGCTTCTTGAGAACACCTCTGAAGAGAGTGCCCGCGGCGTTGCTAGGCAACAGGGAATGCATAGTGGCGATTCCTCTGCCACAGTCCTAACGGAGAGGGATGGAGATTGTGTGTGTAACATTTTTTTTGTTTTAAACTTAACCACAAAGGGGTTTCATTTTAACAGCAAGGCTATGAGTCCTTTTGCCTTTTTGTTTAGAGAGGAGCGTATAAAATTCAGCTAAGGATTATTAGCCAGGTTCTCAGTTGGAAAGCACTGAACAGGGAGGGAAGCCTGTTCCCTCATTCATGTGCTTTCAGGGATGTGCACGAGGAGTGCTTTCTTTTGCCCCCTTTCCAAGTAGAATCTGTTGAGGGTTGGTGTGACCGGCATTCTAGAATTTGCACTTCTCGCAACTGCTTGGGTATTGCTGATCCTGCTGTCCGAGGACCACACTTTGAGAACCGCTGTATCAACTCCTTAGTTGTCAGGCCTTTGCGTGCAGTGCTGGGGTTGGGTGGTGCTGTTTTTCTTTTGTGGATGGAATAAATTCAGATCCTGGAAGAACTGCCCCGGAACTAAGCCTGAACTGCTGACTTAGCCCCAACGTTCCGGATTCCTGACAAGGTGCATGTGCCCCACCGAGGACTCTTGCTGTCACTGTCACTTTGTTCATTTACATTTAATGATTTTATCTCTGGTTCTGTTACTCTCAGACCCCTCAGCAAAGGAGGAGCAACATGTGTAGAGTGTAATATATATGTGTATTGTATATAGAGACAGAACCTCCCTCCCAGTTGGGGAGGTTCATGGTTTACGCTTGTTTTTCTGGTATTAATTGATGTCTCGTATGTATTTGTTTAAGGTAGTGTTTTCCAAAGTATGGTCTCTGAAATACTAGTTATACAGTTATGTTCCACCAAAAAATGGTGTGTGTGTGTGTGTGTGTGTGTGAGAGAGAGAGAGAGAGGGAGAGAGAGTGCAAGCATTTAAATGTGGGATCCCTTCTAGAGATGCGCAGCATACGTGAGTATAATAATGGTGAGAAGCCCTGCAGTAAGTTGCCTTCATTTATCAACTTTATTTGACTGTTACCTTTTATTTTTGTAACACTCATTAATATTCTTCACAGTGACTTTTGGTAAAAGAGGAGATGAGGGGCTAAGTATTTTGGAGTTACCGGGGTAGAGATTTAAACTTGAGTGGTGTGTCATATGTCTGTAGTGTGGAACTTAAGGATAGTCTGATATTCTCGTGACTTCCACCAGTCCTCCCCTCGGGTCACTACCCCCAGTGATGTTTGTACCAGGCTTTTTGTTCATTTGGTAAGGTCTGTGTGTGCGCTGCACGTAGTCACATAGGGTGTTACAAACATGTATTAAGTGGATTATGTGCCAGGATTATGTGCTGGGTGCTGGAAAGGCTCAATTTTTCCAAGTGATTAAGAAGAAATAGTGGACTTGTTTGTTACGAACTTAGCATTTGAAAGTTTTTAACTCTTGGAACATCCGTGGAGGCATGGCATGTATCTATAATTTTGGTGAGGCACTGGTTTGAATCCTGAGGTTGGTTTGTGAGAGCTAGTTTTTTTAGCTGGCTAACGAGTGAGCCTAAATGCCCTCCGAGAATCCACATCACATTGTGGTACTGTTGGTATTATGTGTTTGTTTCTCTTACATTTTATGGGAGGAAATGTATATCCTGCTAGTATTCCTAGGTCTCGGGATGGTTCTTGTGATTGTTGCGGTTCCTGGTCACAAGGAGTTTTCAGTTGAATCAGGGACTTGCCTGCACATTGCTAACCTAGGCACCAGCCAAGAGATACAAGGGCGGGGGCCTAGCACAGCAGTGTTCACCTGGCCTGGCTGACAACCAGTCTCTGCTACAGTTGCTTCCCATCTTTTGGGTGATTGTCTCTGTCATTCTCCATCCTCGCCTCCTTCCCCCAAATCCCTACCGCTGGTACACACCTGCCAGGTAGGCCCAAAAGAAAGATGTGTGGGTAGAAAAGTACATAGGTAAGAGAGGTACACTGCTGCCTCAGGGTTACCTGGGGAGTCTCCCCGGGGGAGGAGGTAGTACCTGGTATTTATTACTGTATCAAGTCTATGACCAAGATATGCCAAAATTTCAAGTACACTTGTTATATTCCAGGTATTAGTTAAGTTGTCCCCCAGGTGATGTGAATTAGACGAGGAAGGAGTTAACCAGATGCCCCCCCCGTTCTCTTTGGGCCATGTTGGGGTGGTTGGGAGTTTGGGTCTTCTGGACCAGATTTCTAGATGGAGACTCTGGCCTTACTCACCACCTGTTGTCTCCAGCAGTGTCTGGAAACGGTTGGAGCCTGACTCAGAGTTGGGGAAGCAGTTGGGAGGTAGGTCTTACAAGTTCTGAGATGCATTCTCAGCTCTGCATTTGCTTTGGTCTCCTGGGGGCCCATAGAGTTTTTCTACTTTGTACCTTCAGATGCTCACCTTTATCAACTCTGAGCAAGGGAAGGTTGGTGTAGGAGATTCTTACTGTATTCCTCAGAGTCTAAAAGGTGGTGTTGTGACATATGCAGAGGGGAGCAATGGTGGGGTTGCTAAAAAGGGTCAGGCGTTTTCTGAGTCGTGCTGTCAGGCGCCGGCTGCCAGAAGCACTCCGGTGTCAGACGCCAGGGCTGCACATAGCAGTGTAAGGCTCTCTTTCCACTAGATGGGGCTGGACTGAGACTGAGCAGGCTTTTGGTGGAGGAGAGAGAACTGTAGAACAGACTGTGGTCCATATTTCAGTGTTGGGCTGGTGCTTGTTTGGAAAAGGATGCCCCCGATGGGCTTTGACCGTTCTAACCACGTCTGATTTTACTGCATTGAGATAGGACTTACTCCAGAAGGCGTGTGAAAGGAACTCTTACGTGGTGAAGAAGGTTTTTCTTGCCTGTTTTGTCCCTTCTTTCTTCGTTCTCATCTATTAAAATGTGAATAGGTGCTTATAAGATCTGCTGGCCTACATATAAGATGCCCTTCTATTTACGGGTAAGCAGAATGATAAAAATAACCGGCTCTGTGGTGAATCAGTGGAATTTTACTGACTCGCTCCCCAAATGTGTCTGCAGCTTACTCCAAGAGAGCTGGCACCCTCTCTAGAGGAGATTGATTCTTCTCTGTAGTTTTCCTGTTAGCTAACATTTCCATGTTCTCGTGCTTTCCTGCCAGCATTAAGTCCAGGCCAGCATCCTGACCCCATTCTTGTGTGAAGGTGCTCCACAACTGGGTTTCAAGGCAGAGCTGCTGTGGCCTTGGAGGCTTCTTTTTTAGGGGCAGCATCTTGAGATTTGTAAGGATTCTGCACTAGGTTTAGTGGTTTTAAAAATGTATGAGACACAACAGATATAAAAAGAATAGGGCTTTTCCATGCAGAGGGTTCCTTGGTTTTAAGGTGAAGAATTCACTATCTCGGTGAAGCCTGAATCCAGCAAGGTTTAACCGAAACAGTCTAGAAACTGGCATTCAGATGGATCTGTTTCCGAGCCTGCGAAAGGCTCGAAGATGCTCCATGGGTTCAAATCCCTCCCATCCCCCACCCACCGGGAGCCACCGAGCGCTTCAGTGGAAATTTCCACTTGTCTGCCAGGGGGAAGGGGAGGCTGTGAGTGTGTGACTGTGTCTGAGAGAAACAGAAACAAAGAATATAACTCAAATTCAGGCAAGCGCTTTTACAGTAAACTTGTGAAGAA